CCATATGGTTAAGTAATGCACATATTGTTGGTACCAACCATATGGTTAAGTAACGCACGTACTCTTTGTACCAACCATATGATAAAGTAACGCATTTACTCTTGGTACCAACGATATAGGTAAGTAACACATTTACTCTTGGTACAAACCATACGGGTAAGTAACGCACGCACTTTTGGTACCAACCATATGGTTGAGTAACGCACTTACTCTTAGTACCAACCATTCGGGTAAATTACACAGTTATTCTTGGTGCCAACTATATGGTTAAGTAATGCACTTATTCTTAGTGCTAACTATAGTAACGCACGTACTCTTGGTACCAACCATATAGTTAAATAACGCACGAACTCTTGGTACCAACTATATGGGTAAGTAACGCGCAACTCTTGGTACCAACCATATGGATAAGTAACGTACATACTCTTGGAACCAACCATACAAGTAAGTAACGCACGTACTCTTCGTGCCAACCATATGGTTACGTAACGCATTTACTCTTCGTACCAACCATATAAATAAGTAACGCGCGTAGACTTAGTGCCAGCCATTTGGGTAAATAATGCACTAACAACTGGTACCATCCATACAGGTAAGTAACGCAGTACTGTTGTTACCAACCATATGGTTCACGAACTCACAAACTCTTGGTACCACCATATGGTTAAGTAACGCATATACTCTTGGTACCAACTGTATGGGTAAGTAACGTGCTAGTCTTAGTACCAACCAGTTTGGTAACTAATGCACTTTCTCTTAGTACCAACCATATGGGTAAGTAACGCGCTTACTCTTGGTACCAACTATATGGTGAAGGAACACATGCACTCTTGGTACCAACTATATGGTTAAGTAACGCACGTACTCTTAGTACCAACCATATGGGTAAGTAACGCGCTACCCTTGGTACCAACCATATGGATAAGTAACGCACTTACTCTTGGTACCAACCATACAAGTAAGTAACGCACGTACTCTTTCGTACCAACCATATGGTTAAGTAACGCATTTACTATTGGTACCAACCATATCGGTAAGTAACGCGCGTAGTCTTAGTGCCAGCCATTTGGGTAAATAACGCACTAACGACTGGTACCATCCATATGGGTAAGTAACACATTACTGTTGGTACCAACCATATGGTTCAGTAACTCACAAACTCTTGGTACCAACCATATGGTTAAGTAACGCATATACTCTTGGTACCAACTGTATGGGTAAGTAACGTGCTACTCTTAGTATCAACCATTTGGGTAACTAATGCACTTACTCTTAGTACCAACCATATGGGTAAGTAACGCGCTTACTCTTGGTACCAACTATATGGTTAAGTAACGCACGCACTCTTGGTACCAACTATATGGTTAAGTAACGCATGTACTCTTGGTACAAACTATATGGGTAAGTAACGCGCTACTCTTGGTACCGATCATATAGATAAGTAACGCACTTACTCTTGGTACCAGCCATACAAGTAAGTATCGCACGTACTCTTCGTACCAACCATATGGTTAAGTATTGCATTTACTCTTGGTACCAACCATATGGGTAAGTAACGCGAGTAGTCTTAGTGCCATCCATTTGGGTGAATAACACACTTACTACTGGTACCAACCATACGGGTAAGTAACCCATTTACTGTTGGTACGAACCATATGGTTCAATAACTCATAAACTCTTTATACCAACCATATGGTTATGTAACGCATATACTCTTGGAACCAACCGTATACTCTTAGTACCAACCATTTCGGTAAATAACGTACTTACTATTAGTACCAATCATATGGGTAAATAACACACTCTTGGTACTAACCACATTGATAAATAACGCACTTACTTTTGGTACCACCATACAAGTAAGTGACGCACGTACTATTGGTACCAACCTTATGGTTAAGTAACGCACAAACTCATGGTACCAACCATATGGTTAATAAATAATGCATGTACTCTTGGTACGAACTGTATGGTTAAGTAATGCGCTACTCTTAGTACCAACCATTTGTGTAAATATCGCACTTACTCTTGGTACCAACCATATGGTTAAATAACGCATGTACTCTTGGTACCAACTGTATGGCTAAGTGACGCGCTACTCTTAGTACCAGCCATTTGTGTAATTATTGCACTTTCGCTTGGTACCAACCATATGGGAAAGTAATGCGCTTACTCTTAGTACCAACCATTTGGGTAAGTAACGCACTTACTATTGGTGCCAACCTCAAGGATAAGTAATGCACTTACTCTTGGAACCAATCATATGGTGAAGAAACGCATCTAATCTTGGTACCAGCCATATGGGTAAGAAACGCACCTACTTTTGGTGCCAACCATATGGATAAGTAACGTCTTTTGCCACCAAACATATGGGTAAGTAACGCAATTACTATTGGTACCAACCATATGGTTAAGTAACGAACGTACTCTTGGTATCAACCATATAGTTTAGTAACGCACTTAATTTTGGTACCAACCATATAGGTAAGTAACGCGCTTACTAGAAGTACCAACCATTTGGGTAAGTAATGCACTTACTATTGGTACAAACCACAAGAATATGTAACGCACTTACTCTTGGCACCGATAATATGGTGAAGTAACGCACCTGATCTTGGTACCAATCATATGGGTAAGTAACACACTTACTTTTGGTACCAACCATACGGGTAAGTAATGGACGTACTCTTGGTACCAACCATACGGATAAGTAACGCACGTACTCATGGTACCGAGCATATGGGTAAGTAACGCACCTACTCTTGCTACCAACCATATGTTTAAGTAACGCACTTACTATTGGTACCAACCATACGGGTAAATAATGGACGTACTCTTGATACCAACCATACGGGTAAGTAACGCACGTACTCATGGTACCAAGCATATGGGTAAGTAACGCACTTTCTCTTGCTACCAACCATATCTTGAAGTAATGCACTTACTCTTGCTACCAACCATATGTTTAAGTAACGTACTTACTCTTGCTATTAACCATATGTTTAAGTAACGCGCACTTACGCACTTATTCTTAGTACCAATTATATGTATTTATAACACATTTACTCTTGGTATTTACCATTTGAAGAGGTAATGCACTTGCTTCTGGTACCATATTTTTGGGTAAGTAACATTCTGTTGGTACCAACCATATGCGTGAATAACGCTTATACACTTAATACCAACCATTGGAGTAAGTAATGCACGTACTCTTAGTCCCAACCATATGGTTAAGTAACGCACTTACTCTTGGTACCAACTATATGGGTAAGCAACGCACTTAGTCTTGGTACCAATCATATGGGTAAGTAACGCACTCTTGGTGCCAAACATATAGATAAGTACCGCACTTTCTCTTCGTACCAACCATACGGATAAGTAACGCACTTACTTTTAGTAATAACCATTTGGGTAAGTAACCCACATACATTTAGTACTAACCATTTAGGTAACGCATTCTTTTGTCAGAACTATACTCTAGGCTGTAGTGGGGCACTCCTTATAGGGTACAGCCCTGTTAGGTTTTGCCTATACAAACCTTGTACTGTTCTCATTCTAGTCATTCTCGTTTCATTCTTGTGACATGGTATCAGAGCAGGTTCCCTAGTGGGAACTTTATTTTTTTCGGGCCCACCGTGTTAATTTTTTTTTTACTGCCCTGCCCGAAGCGCGCGTCGCGCCTGCCTCCCCCTAGTGCCGCCCTTAGCGGCCCTGCCCTTTGCGGCTCGTCGCGCCCTTCCCCTACGGCCCGTCGAGGCCCGATCTCGCCGCCCTTAGTGGCCCTCCTCTCCAGTCGCCGCCCTTAGCGGCCCGCCCTGCCGTCGCCGCCCTTAATGGCCGGCCCGCCCCGTCGTCGCGGCCTTACCTACCCTGCCGCCATTTGTTGCGGCCCTGCCGCCCTTTGTCGCGGCCGTCGCGGCCCTGCCCTGCCCCACCGCCCTACGTCGCGGCCCCTGACCTGCAGCCGCCGTCGCGGCCCCTGACCTGCCGCCCCACGTCGCGGCCCCTGACCTGCCGCCCCACGTCGCGGTCCCTGACCTGCCGCCCCACTTCGCGGCCCCTTCAGCAGCCGCCGAGGCCCCGTGGTCTGCAGCAACCATCGCCCCTGCTGCCGCCGTAGCGGCCCAGCTGCCGCCGTCGAGCCTGCAGCCACCCGTGCGACCGCCGCCGTCGTCGCCGCTGAGGCCCCGCCGTCGCGGCCCTGCCCTGCCGCCCTGACGCGGCCCTGACCTGCCGCCCTGACGCGGCCCTGACCTGCCGCCGAGTTGTGGCCCTGCCCTGCCGCCATGTCGCGACCCCTACCCTGCCGGCGCGCCACGGCCCTGCCCCACCAATCGCGGCCTCTACCCTCCCCTCCCGCCACTGGTAAGCGCACCGCCGCACCCGCGCCGCCCTGCCGAGCCGCGCCGCCCTGCCGAGCCGCGCCGCCCTGCCGAGCCGCGCCGCCCTACCGAGTCGCGCCGCCCTGCCGAGTCGCGCTGCTACTGCCACTGCTGCTGCTGCTAGGCTACTGCTGCTGCTCCTGCTGTCATGGCTAGCCCTAATGTCCTTACCTTCGATGCTGAGGGTCGGGCATTCGATTTCGAGGTCTGGGTCGATGATCTGCAGCTTTTCCTGCAGTGTGACTCTAGGGACGGAGTCTCTCTGTTCGATCACACGTCCGGCGTCTCAGTTGCACCTGCTGCCGATGCTGACAGTGCACTCCGCTCGCAGTGAACCACGCGCGATGCTGCTGCTCGTCTTGCTGTTCGTAGTTATCGGCCGCTGCTGAGCGCGCGCACTTTCGCCAGTACAAGACTGCTCAGACTCTGTACGACGCTGTTGTTGCGCGCTACTCCTCCCCTGTCACTGCTGCCCTTAGCCACCTCATGCTGCCGTACCTGTTCCCTGACCTAGCCGCTTTTGCCACTGTCGCTGACCTCATTACGCACCTCAGCACTAGTGACACCCGCTAGCGCGCTGCGCTTCCTCCCGAATTCTGCACCAAGAACCCCCCCCCTATGTACATCACCCTCTACTACCTCGTCACCCGGCTCCCTGACTCCCTTCGCTCGGTCAGGGACCACTTCCTCTCCCTTTGCCCCACCACGCTCACCGTTGACCTCCTCGAGGAGCGCCTCCTTGCAGCTGAGAAGAGTATAGTCGCTGTAGGAGCCTCTCGTGGAGACCCTCGTGCCCCTTTCTTTGAGGGGTGCTACCCCGTCCCTCTTTTGCCCTCTGTTGCCTCTGCTGCTGCTGTCGACCTCGTTGGCACCGAGTCGGTCAGCGCTGCGTCTGCTCCTAGTGGGAGGCGCCGCAGCAGCAGGAGCAAGGGGGGCAAGGGTGCTGGAGGAGACGGCGGGGGCGGCGGTAGTGGCGGTGGAGGCGGCGGAGGGGGTGGGGGTGGAGGTGGGGGTGGTGGCGGGAGTGGGGGCTTCGGCGGCAGCAGTGGAGGCGGAGGCGGCGGCGGCAGCGGCAGTGGGGGTGGCGGAGGTGGCAGCGGCGGTGGGGGTGGTGGCGGCGGTGGTGCTGGTCAGGGTGGCGCTGCGCAGCGGGGAGGTCCTGGTGGTGGCCAGCGCCAGCAGCAGCAGCGTTCTCGTGAGACCCTGTCGCCCCAGCAGCTTCGTGAGTGGTACGCTGGGCGTGGGAGGTCTGGGGGTGCTGGTCCTTGTGTTTACGTTCTCCGCACCGGCGACCGCAGTGGGGAGACGTGCGGAGGACCGCATGCCACGCACCGCTGTTTCGGCCGCCTGAAGGACGCCTGGCGTACACAGTTTCCAGACGCCACTGAGCTCCCTCGCTGGGGTGATCTGCTTAAGTCGGGTGTTGCTATCTTTGATCTTGATTATGATGCTATCCTTGCTGCTATGTATGCTGTGACTATTAGTGCTGAGGGTATCTGTTACCTGTGTGTTCCGCTCGACCCGGGCATTGAGGCTGCTGCTCTAGGTGCTAGTGAGTCTGCTGCTCTAGGTGCTGGTGAGTCTGCTCTCTCAGGTACCGCGTTGGCGCAGGCCGTGCACACGTTCACCCTTGACTGGGGTGCTTCTCGCTCCTTTCGCAAATGCACCACACTCTCGCCGCTCAGTCGGCCAGTGGCAGTCTCCCTGGCTGACCCCTCTAGGGGTCCGGTCCTTGCACACTCCTCCACGGTTCTGCCGTGTCCGGAGGTCCCGCCTAGCTCTCTGTCTGGCCTCCACCTCCCCTCGTTCTCCACGAACTTGGTGAGTGGAGCTGACTTTAGGACGCGTGGGTTGACCAGTTCACTCCTGGAGGTCAGCGGGTGACCCACTGTTTGTGCACTCGGACGGGCCGGCACCTGGCCACGTTCTCTCGTCAGTCTGGGTCGAGCCTGTACACCCTGACTACCGGGTCTCCTCCCGTTCCTGCATCTGGTCAGATAGCTGCGTCGGGTCAGGTGTTTGCTGCAGCGTCCCGGTCTGGTCCTGAGTCTGCCCCCTGCTCTTGTCGCCTCCTGTCTCACCAGACTCTTTTCTGGCACCACCGCCTTGGTCACCCCTCCCTGCCTCGTCTCCGAGGCATGGCCTCCCGTGTCCTTGTCACTGGTCTTCCCCGGTCTCTCCCTCCCCTTCCCCCGGGGCCTGCCCCTACCTGCGCTCCTTGCGTCGAGGGGCGGCATCGCGCTGCTCCTCACTCCTCTGAGTTCCCTCCGACGGAGGCTCCCTTGCAGACTTTTCACATGGACGTGTGGGGCCCAGCCCGCGTCCGTGGACAGGGTCACGAGCGCTACTTTCTGCTGGTCGTTGACGACTACTCGCGTTACACCACAGTCTTCCCCTTGCGCCGCAAGGGTGAGGTCACCGAGGTGCTGATCGACTGGATCCCCGCTGCCTATCGTCAGCTCGGCGAGAGTTTCGGCTCGGACCTTCCTGTTTTGCGTCTGCACTCCGACAGAGTTGGAGAGTTTTTCCTCCGACCTTCTATGAGCCTTCTGTCGTGCGGAGGGCATCCGCCAGACGTTCACGCTTCCGGCCTCTCCGCAGCAAAATGGGATTGCTGAGCGCCGCATTGATATGGCCATGGACGTCGCTCGTACGTCCATGATCCATGCGGCTGCTCCCCATTTTCTGTGGCTGTTCGCGGCTCAGTACGCTGCGCATCAGCTCAACCTCCAGCCCCGGGTCTCCATGCCGGAGACCACACCTACGCTGCGGTGGACGGGGAAGGTTGGCGATGCATCTGCATTCCGTGTCTGGGGATCTCGAGCTTTCGTCTGCGACTTGTCTGCGGACAAGCTGTCCTCCCGTGCTGTTCCCTGCGTCTTGCTTGGCTTCCCCCCTGACGCGCCTGGTTGGCAGTTTTGCCACCCAACCTCGCGCCCTATTCTGACCTCTTTGGACGTCACGTTCGATGAGTCGGTTTCTTACTACCGTCTCTTCCCCTACCGCACTGCCCCCCTTCCTCCCCCGCCCGTCTTCCTCGTGCCAGGTCCTCCTCCGGTAGACCCCCTTCCCCCTAAGGGTCCTGCCCCCTCAGGTGTGTCCGAGGTAGATGCAGTCGAGCCTGTCGAGGTAGCTGTTGACTCTGGTGCGACTAAGGGTGCTGAGCCTGCGGGTGCCGGGTCTGGGGGTGCTGAGCCTGAACGTGCTAAGCCTGGGGGTGCTTAATCTGGAGTGCTGAGCCAGGGGGTGCTGAGCTTGGGGTTGCTGAGTCTGGGGGTGCGGAGCTTGAGGGTGCTGAGCCTGCGCGTGTGGAGTCTGGAGGTGCTGAGCCTGGAGGTCCCTCGGATGCTTCGTCTCGGCAGGAGCCGCTCTCTCCACAGCAGCTTCGCGAGTGGTTTGCTCGGCGCTGGAGCCGTGCTACTGGAGCTGGTGGTGCTACGAGCGCTGGAGGTCCTGCTGCTGCTGGAGCTGCTGGAGAACCTGGAGCCACTGGTACCGGAGGTGCTCGTACTGGAGGTACTGGAGCTGCTGGGCCTGGTGGTGCTTCTGGAGCTACTGGAGGTGCTGGAGCTGGCGGTGCTTCTTGAGCAGGTGCTGCTGGGGGTACTGGAGCTGGTGCTACTAGAGCTGCTGGGGCTTTTGGTGGTCCTGCTGGAGCTGGAGCTGCTGGAGGTGCTGGAGCTGGAGGTGCTGCTGGAGCCGGTGCTCCTGGGGGTGCTGGAGTTTGCACTACTGGAGCTGCTGGAGGTGTTGCTGGAGCCGGTGCTCCTGGGGGTGCTGGAGTTTGCACTACTGGAGCTGCTGGAGGTGCTGCTGGAGCTGGTGGTGCTGCAGGAGTTGGAGCTGACGCTGGGGGTGCTGGTGCTGTTCCTGCTGGTTCTGGAGGCGCTGCGCGGCCGCGGCCAAACTTCGTTCCGCTCCTTGAGCAGGTTCTTGGTCTCCCGCCTTCTACTGGTCCTGCTCATTCCTTAGAGTCTCTACTGCCTGTCCAGCCGCAGTCGCAGTCACAGTTACAGCTACAGCCCGCCTCCCCACTGCCTGCTCCTTCTCCTAACACTGGTCCGACCGGAGGTCTTGCTGAGCGTCGTGAGCCTGCGTCTCGTCCTGCGTCGCCTATTCGTGCTGCTCGCACTAGTCGTCGTGGTTCGCGTCAGCATCCTCCTCTTGTCCCCGGCACGCACCAGATGGCTCTGCGTCCTTCCACTGCTCTCCAGCGTGTCCCTCTGCCGTCTCCTCCTGCGTCCTCCATTCCTGTCGGCTCGGACCCGGAGTCTGACTCCCTTCGTGCTGCTAGTCCTACTGTCACGCGTCTCCTGGCCACTGTGGTCACTAACCCTTCCTTTGAGTCTACTGCTACGTCTGCTCTTGTTGCTGAGCTTGTCGACTTTGCTGCTCGCTGCCGTCTAGACTACGCCGCTAGTCTTGTTGCTGACTCTGAGTCTTTCTGTCCTCCGTCCGTCGGGGGTGAGTGTGCCCTTAGCACGGACGTCCTTGAGGACAGGCAGGAGGAGTTCCAGTGCTTTGCTGCTGCTTTACCTCATCTCCTGTCCATGCTGATTGCCCCTGAGGGAGACCCGGATGCACCAGACATCCCGACCCCGCGCTCTTACGCAGAGGCGATAGAGGGTCCCTACTCCTCTCAGTGGCAAACAGACATGGACGCAGAGATGGCTTCCTGGAAGTCCACAGGCACCTACGTCGACGAGGTTCCCCCACCTGGGGCAAACATTGTCGATGGCATGTGGATTTTCAGGGTGAAGCGGCCGCCGGGTTCTCCGCCTGTCTTCAAGGCGCGTTACATGGCTCGAGGCTTCAGTCAGGGGTAGGGAGTTGACTACTTTCAGACCTTCTCTCCCACCCCGAAGATGACTACTCTTCGGGTGCTGCTGCACGTTGCCGCTCAGCATGACTACAAGCTTCACTCTCTTGACTTCAGCACAGCCTTCCTACATGGCAGCCTGCGCGAGGAGATCTAGCTGCGCCGCCCACCTGGCTTCACTGGGTCGTTTCCTCCTGGTACCCAGTGGAGCCTCCGGCGGCCAGTCTACGGTCTCCGCCAGGCGCCCCGTAAGTGGCACGACACACTGAGAACTACACTTGGGGCTCTTGGGTTTGCTCCTTCTACTGCTGACCCGTCGTTGTTTCTGCGCACCGACACTTTGCTGCCGCCGTTCTACATCCTCGTGTACGTCGATGACTTGGTCTTTGCCCCTGCTGACACTGAGGGACTCGCCCACGTGAAGTCCGAGCTGCAGAAGAGACACACGCGTGCAAACCAGGGTGAACTGCGCAGCTATCTTGGCTTGCAGATCACCCGGGACAGAGCACGGCGCACCATTACCCTGACTCAGTCACACATGGTGCAGCAGGTCCTTCAGCGCTTCAACTTTACGTACTCCTCTGTCTACTCGCCACTCGCTCTCAGCTCTGCCTTCGGATGAGTCCGTAGAGCCGAGTGGCCCGTACCCAGAGCTTGTTGGCTGCCTCATTTGCCTGATGACCTGCACTCGACCTGACCTGGCATACCCTCTTAGCATCTTGGCACGCTATATTGCTCCTGGGAGACACCGACCAGAGCACATGGATGCAGCTAAGAGGGTGTTGCGCTACCTGTGTAGTACGTCGGGCATGGGGCTCGTGCTTGGAGGACGCGCTCGAGTTGTCCTCACTGGTCACGCAGACGCTTCTTGGGTTGACGACTTGGCTACGCAGCGGTCGTCACAGGGTTACACCTTCAGCCTTGGTTCCGGCTCTGTTTCGTGGCGGTCTACCCGCTCGTCTTCTGTTCTCAGCTCCAGCTGTGAGGCTGAGATCTACGCTGGAGCCATGGCTGCACAGGAGTTACGTTGGCTCACCTACCTGCTGACTGACTTGGGAGAGGCGCCTCGTTCTCCTCCAGTTCTGTACGTCGACAACAAGGCCATGCTGGCCTTGTGTCAGGAGCACATACTGGAGCACACAACGAAGAACATTGCTCTTCGCTACTTCCTTGCTTGAGAGTTGCAGCAGCGTGGTCAGCTTCGTCTGGCTTACGTGGCCACTCGGGCCAACACTGCTAATATCTTTACTAAGGCACTTCAGCATTGTGATCACCAGCGTTTTTGTACTATGTTAGGTCTTGTGCCTACCTGGCCTCACTTGCCTATCTCTTGGCTTTGCTTGTACTGTGATCTATATATATCTTCACCTGCATGCTTATCGTTGCTATGTTAAGATCACGGTCTTGCTTATTCACCTTGATTTATAATCCTGCATGTGAACTGGCCTTGTGGCCTTGTACTTGTGCTCAGAATGCGTGGTGACGTCGTGATCCACCCTGAGCTTGACCTTGCCTTGTTCTCTTGCTTGTCCCCTAGTTTTCCTATGGGGGTGTGTCAGAACTATACTCTAGGCTGTAGTGGGGCACTCCTTATGGGGTACAGCCCTGTTAGGTTTTGCCTATACAAACCTTGAACTGTTCTCATTCTAGTCATTCTCGTTTCATACCTTGTGACATTTTTCTTAGTACCAATCATCAACTAAATGATGCGGAGATACCTCTAGCAACGGGAGCCTGACTACTAGGAAGGCACGGGGTAGAGGTGATCTCAGTATTCGTTCTTTAGTCGTTTGCTTGTGTGTTCCCTGCTTGCACATTGACGAGGAGATTTTGCAAGAGTTCCACTAGCAAGATTGATCAGAATAGTCTATAATGACAAGACAACAACAAACTACATCAGACGCTAGGATCCACGCTAGTCGACTGCAAGCGCAGCATGGTCCACCGCGTTCCAGCATGACATGGTCGACCGTGCTCCAGCGTGGCAATGTCGCGGTATGCCAAAGCTGCAAGTCGACGGCTTGCCAACGCTACAGCAAGGCGGCTGCACTTCATTGCATCCAAAAGGCAGCAGCGCACCCGATTCGCAGGTGCTCACAGTTGATTGGCATTCCGTACGCAATCATGTGCACAGCGCAGAAACCAAGCTGGCCACGTGCTTGTTGGGTGCAAATTAGCATTGCACGACATCGTGCTATCTGTTTCTACAAGTATGCGTATGCGAGTGCATTTGCGTATGAATGGAATGTTCGTGTGTTTGTTTGCTTTCGCAATTTTTGCTTGAAGCATTTGCAGGTACCAGCGCGATGAGCTCTTTGCCTCAACATTGTACGCGTTATGAACAGTGCAAGTAGAAAAGATGAGCTCGCAAAGGAACCCAAGATGGAAGCTTTGCTGTTCGATTTATTTCATTGCGTAGATTCAGTTTTATCCAACTCGAAATTGTATTGTTTTGTTTGGTTGAATATAGTGTAGCCTGCTATAGGCAGGCATTATAGGGGTACAGTTTAGGTGAAGGTTGGATGTTGTTTGTCTGTATCTGCATGCTACAGGGCCAAGAAAGACAAGCAGAACCAGAATTTGGTTGGTTGGGCAAGGACAAAACATGTTCTGCTATTAGAACCTGAACCTGGTTGTTACTTTTCCAGGTTGGAAAAACAGAACCAGAGGTTGTTTACCAACCTACCACCTGCTGTTTTGTTCAGCCAGGTTGGTTCTGTTGCTTGGTATTATTTGGGATCATGCCTGGTTGTTCCCAGGTTGATTCCCAAGGTCCTTGCTAGCTGGAACTATTTATTCTTTCTCTGTTTGTACTCTGAAAATAGTCAAATTGATTCAAGCGAATTCCTTCTTTGCTGGAATTTTGTTTCTATGCAGTGCGACGGCGTAATGATGCAGAGTCAACACTAGTACGCTAGCACTAGTACCCTAGGCAAACGCTGTCCCAGCCATAACTTCATAATGGCAGAACTTTTGGCGAGGCAACTTGGCTTATTGTAAAGCTCTTGGAGTGAGCTTCGAAACAGAAAATTCTCAGCTTAATCCGATCGGCGGTCTGCACAATACGATGCGCTACGTTCAAGGCACTCTTGCTAATTTGGCAAAGTTATTCTTGACTTCTCTCTCTACAAACTCGATCCCGGGGATAGGGCTGGTCTTGTACCAGGCACCCAAGGACCCTTGGAGGTGACCCCGATTAGAGGTTTAAAGTTTGATTAAGTCTTATTGGCTCGATTTTATTAGGCCCTTACACCAACAAGCTGGTATCAGAGCTGCGTTATAGTGATCCTCGTTATAGGTAGCTATGGCAGGCAACACCTCAGCGGGAGATGGTGAATTTTCAGAACAAGATAGTAGCGGCAGCCAAGATTCTGGTGATTCGGTGCCAAGAGGAGCGCGAACAAAC